CCGCGTGACGACGCTTCGGCATCAATTTAAAAACGTGCAAACTAGCCCCCCCAACAACTTCCCGACGGCTGAATGGGATTAGTTACTATAAACAAAATTATACACGAGGAAGTTGGGGGTCTGGCAGTATTTCGCGGCGAAGGACTTGCCGTCCGGCGTCGGGTCGGAGAAGGCGATTTCGTGGGTGCCGAGGTAGCAGCCGTACATGAAGGTGCTCCTGAAAGAGAGAGCGGAGAGAGGTGGGTTTTCAGAGCTCCAGCTGCATTAATAAACCCACATCTCTGTCCTTAGATACTTTCTGTGCCTGTTTGACACGCACAGAGCGAGCAGATGGGCCACAGAGGAGGCAACTGCTGCTACAGGCTCACGGGTTATCAAGCTCCCCCTCGAGGCAGCTCATCTTCATAAAAGAGGGGAAATTTTTCAGCCTTTTGGTTCAGTCTGAGCTTGAAAAGCTCAGAATTTTCTGCCTGGAAAAACTCAAATGTTTGAGCCCAGTAAAAAAAAACACAAACAATTAGTAAGAAGTTCCCAGGAAGCAGTTTCGCTGGGAAAATCCATGTATTCCAGTTATACCCAGCGTGGCCCATGCTCGTGTCAGATTTAAAACATAAATGTTATTTTAGGAATATCTCCTGTTTAAGAATATCCACTTGACATCCCTCCACCACAAAGCGGGGATTCCAGCCACAATGACACAATTTTATCCCTCTCCATAGGTTCCTTCTGAACGTTGTTTGCCACAACCATCGTTTCCCCCCTCCCCAAAAAAATAAGAATAAAGCCCAGGCGGGCTCCCGGCTCCACTCGGCTTTACCTGACCACGTCCACCATGCGCCGGGCGATTCCCTTCCTGCGGCTCGGGCCAAACACCCAGATCCTGCTGACGCCACAGACAGCAGGTTCGGGCTCCGTGGAGCAGCACCAAGCCCGCTGGGGCTGCAGGACGTCCTGGCCAGGCGACGGCGCGGCTCCCGGCTCCGACAGCACCCGGAAAGCCTGCAAGGACGAGGAGAGAAGAATCCAGGGAGAGGCAAGGACCGTCTCGCGATCCTGGAATCACCTCTCACTCTCTTACAGGGCGCAAACATAAACCAGCACCCAAAGCTGGGACAGAGGGAAGCTCGCTGCAAACTCAGCTAACTCCTGCCAGCAGCACCTCACCTCAGCAAGAGCAGAAGCTTCTCCTTAGTATGTTTTTTCTCATTTTTTGGCTGTTTCTTTTTTTGTTAGAAAAGGGCGAGGGAGCTGGGGCAGGGTCTGGAGCCCAAGTGTGCTGAGGAGCGGCTGAGGGCCCCGGGGGTGTTCAGCTTTAGGGGAGCCCTTGTCGCTCTCGGCAGCTCCCTGGCAGGAGGGGGCAGAGACACAGGGATGGGTCTGTTCAACTAAGGAACAAGCGACAGGATGAGAGGAAATGGCTCAAGTTGCTCCAGGGGAGGTTTAGACTGGATATGAGGAAAAATTTCTTCACTGAAAGGGTTGCCAAGGCCTGACCCAGGCTGCCCAGGGCAGTGGTGGAGTCCCCACCCCTGGAGGGATCTCAAAGCCGTGGAGATGTGGAGCTCAGGCCATGGGTCAGTGGTGGCCCCAGCAGGGCTGGGTTCACGGTTGGGGTCAATGATCTTAAAGGTCTTTTCCAACCCAGACAATTCTGTGATTCTATCTCCTCAGCTTTATTTTCACCCCCCCTTCCTGTGCTGACACCCAGGTTTGTGCAAACAGCTCCAGCGATTTTTTTCTGCAATTTCACAGAATTACAGAATTGCCCTGATTCGAAAAGACCTTGAAGATCATTAAGTCCAACCACCAGCACTGACGAGGCCTCGACTAAACCACATCTTTGAGCGCTGAGTCTACAGGACTTTCAAATCCCTCCAGGGACAGCGACTCCACCACTGCCCTGGGCAACCCCAGTGCCTGAGAACCCTTCCAGTAAAGAAATTCTTCCTAATATCCAATCTCAACTTGCCTTCACGCAACTTGAGGCTGCTTCTTCTTGTTCTATACGTTCACCCTATCACCTGGGTGAACAGATGGGTCCCCAATTTCCCCTCCTCCCCATACAACGAACACCACGCACCTGCTTGATTGATTCAGCCACCAAGCACCCAACGATGATCTTCTCGTTGGACACGAACAAGTAGATTTTAGTCTTGGCCGGGCACCTCAAAGAAACTTGGTTAAATCCCAACTCATTATCTACGATTTCTCGCACGTCTTCTGCCTAAGAAAACAAAACCAGGGAGGTGCATTAGGAACTAACACACAAGTTCTTTGGCTTGAAATCCATCAAAAAGGTACTAGTTCCCCAAAATAATTCTGTGCTCAGGCTCTAGCTGTGTAGGGACCATTAAAGAATATCTTCATCCCCTATGCCTCTCAGCCCACCCCTTGGGATGGAAAGGATCGGGTTAGCTCAGGTATGAACACAGGTTTCAGCGCGGGGAGCAGGGTTAGGATCACAGAATCACAGAATCCCAGGTGACAAGGGACCTCAAGGATCATCTAGTCCAACCCTTTACGGTAAAAAACCACAGTTTAAATGATGATGATGGGTCAGGATTTGTTGTCACAGCCCTTCTCAGCTCTCCCGAGTGCCGGCGAGTGATCTGTGGTCGCACACTGAGGTAGTTTTGGGAGCTGAGCCAGGAGAAAGCTCATCTACAACATCAACCCCAAAACAAACCAGCATGTACCTTCTTGACGGCGTATTTGGGGTCGTCTGGAAGGATCAATACAATTTTCCCATCCCAGAACTCGGCCACGACACGTTCTTTCTTCCAGCCCTGTCACAGAATAAGGAAAAAAATAAAAAAAGAGACAAAAGCAAACAGACAAGTTAACGGTCTAAGGAGAGAAAGGAAGTGATTCAGCACAGGCAGTGGCTGTAACCCAAACTGCTTCAGCTTTCAGGAATAGAGTCACAGTCATCAAACTGATGAAGGCAGGCAGCTGCTGGAACTGCCTTAATTTGCACTTTAACCTCCTCTCGGCATGACAAGACCCCCCCAGCTGCCTCGGCGTCGTACCCGGTTCTCGCGCCCCCTCTTCCCCCCTTGCTGAGCTCCGAGCGCGGCCTCACCACGTATTGGAGCGTCTCGAGGAACCTCTCGTGGTGCTGGAGGTGCTGGGCTTCGTCCTCCGGGCTGGCGGCCATGTAGATCATGCCGCACGACTTGCAAACCACGGCGCCGAAATGCTTCTGCCCGGCGTCCTAGGGAGAAACAGAGCCGGCTGAGAGCCCCTAAAACTGCTCAAAACTCCGTTCGGTTGAAAGAATGAGGTCGAAGGTTCATTCTGGTAACAATAACCGAAGATCGAAGTGGTTTTGGTTTGGACTCGATGATCTTAAAGTTTTTTCCCCACCCAGGCAATTCTTTGATTGGGATTTGCAGAGAGGAGAACAAGGTTTGCAGCATATTGCTCGCAGAATATTCAGAACCGTGTGGCGTTAAATTACCTGGAGAATAAAATCAAGGCATTATTTGGAAGGAGCCTTGAAATGGATCAGCGACATCCTCACGGAAGAGATGATGTAAAAGAGCACTGGAAAAAAAAACCAACCAAGGAATGCTGCCCAGCCTTTTCCTCAGTTACCTAAAAATAACCTCATTTTTCCTCGCTTCCTGTGTCACAGCAGCCACGTTCTGTCCCTCGTGGGCCCAGGAGTTGGACACGGAACTGAGGGGCACCGGGCAGGGCTGGAGCCGGCGGGTGACCAGCCCTCATCTGGGTTTCTCTCTCCCAGTTTTCAAGAATTTCTACCTGCGAGGTCTCAAAACGGGACAGAAGTAATCCACATGACTCAAAAGGTGCTAGAAAGGGCAGAGAATGACCACCCAAGGCCTGTTCCCTCAGGAAAGAGGCTCGACAACATCTGCGTGTCACCAAGCAAGACTAAAGGGGTTACCAGAGAAAAAATCACTCATCGCTGAGGGTGTATTTTCTGTAAACCCAGATGTGTGACAGCTGTGCAACACATAAGCCTCAATAACATCGATTGGCCTCCTCCTGCTGCCAAAAAGAGCTGAAGAGCAAGAGCAGGAAGGTAAACGTGGAGGTACCAAAGATGCTCAGTAAGGCAGCGAGCTCCGGTCGGGCTCAGCTCTCAGTCGCAAATTCTGCTCCTGCGCTGCCGCGGCCGACGTTTGCTGCTGCCAGAAAGCCTTGAGAAAGTAAAATCACCCAGCCAGATTCACTCCTAGAGATCCACACAGCCCTGGCTGAGCTTCCCCTTGGTTTGGCTTTGTTGGGTTTTTTTTTTAATATTATGTTCCATAAATCTCTTTTGAGTTCTAAACCATAATAAACCAGCAGGGAAACCGTGACACCGTTATTTCCCAGCGACAACCCTGCCCTAATCTAGAGCTAAATACATCCATCATCACCCTATTACGGTCATCGCAGTGGTTGGTTTGAGGTTTGCACGTCAGGAAATCTTGTTATCGGGTAGCCTCGAGGCATATTTCTTGTTTCCTCAGCACCGAGGACCGAGGGGAACCTTACAATGATCATCTGATCTCGGGAGCGCTTGCAGAGCTCTTTGGCCTTCTTGCTTTTCTGCAAGGCGTGAGGTGGTTTTGCGGGCGGGCTGGAGCCAAAAGGAGAAGTCAGCTCATCCAGGGTAGCTTGTGTCCTGAAAAAACATTTCAGAGATGAAAGTTAAGTCGCTGCAGACAAAGCTTAACGTTACGTGGAACACGTAGCGACTCTTATTACACGGCACCCAAAATTAAAGCAGGTACAGCAAAGCTTCTCAGTGGCAGTTCCTCTGGAGGAGGGAGGGAAGGGCTCCAGGAAGAGCCAGAGTTACATCGCAAGTTAATTAACTCCTAATTAAGCACCACTCCCATTTCCACAGCCATTTCCAGGATAATGGGGGTTGAGGAGAATCTGAAGTCCCCAGGAGGCTGAAGGGCTCAGGGAGATGAAGATGCGGGGGTGCGAGCACGGCTGGTGACGTGACCACGCCACGGGTCACATCAGGGACCTGCCAGACCCCTGGAGGGCACAACACGAGGTAGGGATAAGGGTGCAACCCTGCCAGACTTGGCGGGGAAAAGTAGCATCACCCAAAATCACCTTAAAAAGCTTTGAGCATTCCCCTTTCGTGAGGCAGAACCGACAACAGAACGTGAACCACATCAGGGCCGCTCTCCCCTCAAAGAAGAAAATAAGAAACCGAACTCCAGGAACCTCTGAAGCATTTCATCCAGGTCTCAATCTGGGTGTATGAGACAAGAGGTTTCGGGCCCCTCCCGACAAGAAGGAGCTGGAGGGGCTGGAGCGTGGCCCGAGAAGGGAGGCGGAGGTGGGGCAGAAGGGCAGCGGAGCTGGGGCAGGGTCTGGAGCCCAAGTGTGCTGAGGAGCGGCTGAGGGCCCTGGGGCTGTTCAGCTGGAGCAGAGGAGGCTGAGGGGAGCCCTTCTCGCTCTCGGCAGCTCCCTGGCAGGAGGGGGCAGAGACACAGGGATGGGTCTGTTCAACTAAGGAACAAGAGATAGGACGAGGGGAAATGGCTTAAATTGCTCCAGGGGAGGTTTATACTGGATTTGTGGAAAAATTTCTTCCCCAAAAGGGTTGTAAAGCCCGGGAAGAGGCTGCCCAGGGCAGCGGTGGAGTCCTCATGCCTGGAGATGTTCAAAAAATGTGTAGATGTGGCACTTCAGGCCATGGTTCAGTGGCTTTGGGTTGGTTGGGCTTGGTGAGCTTGAAGGTCTTTTCCAACCTTAATGATTCTCTGGTTCTAAGAACTTGGGACAAGGTTTTGGCCACCATCACAGCATGGTCTCAATCCCACCCTCTGATTTCCCCCAGGGATCCCAAGACCACCTCCCCGCTCAGCGGCTGCTCCAGCACCCCACGTCCCAGGCTCTGGGGCCAACACCACCAGGGCAATGGGCAGCAGCTCAGGGAAAACCCACGGTGCTGAGGCTAAGCCACCTCCCAGGATCAGCTTCCCAAAGAGGGGAGCAGACCAAAGCAAGGCCAAGATGATTTCTTTCATATTCAGATGCAGATTTATACAATTTTTTAAGTTTACAACGTGAGCTTCAGCTAGAGGGCAGCACGTTGTTGGGGTGGCAGTTTTTCTAACCAACCTTCAGGCTCCTGCACCTAAGTCAGCATTTCTTAAGCCATCTCCAAGTGGGAAATGGGAACTATTGTGCAGTGAACCTTAACGTGCAACTCATTTAGAGATACACCAAACCATTTTATAGAGTTGGATGCTAAGGAGAATTTCCAAAGCAGAGCCTTCGCGTAGGGACAGCTTGCGCTCATCAGCTTCACGAGAGACCAGTGCAAATCCCGAGCTGATCTTCAGTGAATCACCAACACCGGGATTTCCACATCGCTCCAGGGTTCCACTTGCCCCACAGAAGGTATTTGAAAAGCCACATGAGGCAGCAAAGCAAATATTGCAGTCGGATGCCTCTCTCAACACTTCTGTGGCGGAGGATTACAGCAGCACGACAAGCCTTGAGAGGTTTATTTTGGCTCTTTCAAGAACAACGTTTAAGTGTTGCTTTTTTCTTTTTTTTAAAACGTTCTCAATAAACTGGGCTCAGAACGCTTTTATTGTTAAGAAAACGTATGAAGAAGTTGATTCAGTTTGGGAGAGGGATTAGTGGCTCTGGTTTCTCTGTGGCAAAACAAGTCTTTTTCCGCTAGAGGTCTACAAGCACGGCAGCAAATGAACTGAAGAAATAAGTTAATCAGAGCCAGAGACCTCAGGCAGCACAATTATATCTTCGGGGGAAAGAATCCCAGTGCTTTATCCAGTAATCCCAGTATTTTTATACTTTATCCCAGTAATTTCTCAAGGCCAGGCTTTTTTACAGCATCGAAAGGCCAACTCCACCTGCTAGTGCTTCATTTCCAGTGCCTTAAACACCAAATGTCACCTGGCAGACTGGAAATACCTGCTCGGGTGAGCAGGGGAAAGCAGAAGGGAAGCAGGTCCTTCTGTTTTTATTACAGCTTCTGTCAGCACCACGATCAAAATTTCTGAGCAGGCCGCTACCTCGTGCTGCTAAAATTTCTCAAGGTAAAAAAAAAAAAAGCAGGATAAAGAAACAAAATCCCTCCTGCAGAGCTCAAACACCATCAAGGCTGCGTCATTCTCGATGATGAACATATCCTTGTTCTGATGATCTTACCGTTCACAGTAGCCAAGAGGAAAACATGATTTTGATTTCAGTTGAAAAAGCTCAACAACACATCCAAACTCACAAATGAACTGTACTACAGGCAGCAAGCAAACGTCTAGTTCCTTATTTGCAGGCTAGGAGCCCCCTAAACAGATTTTATCTTCCATCTTCTCTTAAAAGAAACAAAACCAAACCACACAAACCTCAAAACACCCTCAGGCTCCCGATCCTTCGAAAGATGAGGAGTAGTTTTTTAGAACTAATTTTAAAAAATAAAATACTCTGCAGATACGACAGTTCTGATCACTCGTGAGGAGTCGGTGAAGCTGAACCTACCTTTTCTTGCTGGCAGGGGGTGCACTGAATATGGGGTAGACACCAGCACTTGAAGGAGGCGCTGGAAGAGACGAGGGAGGTTATTGCGGTTTTGAACCCTTTTCAGTTGCAGAACACAAAGAGGGGAAACAAATTCAAACACCAGCAAGACTTCAAAACGACCCAGCGAAACCAGACTCTGAAGAGCCCTGGGAAGCCGTTGATGCTGCAGGATATAAAAGTTATTTTCCACGGGCGGTATCCGGTCATAATTACCTTCAACCCACTTAAGTGGCATTAATCTGGTAATTTTTCCCTCTCATATTGGAATTCCGAAGGAGAAATTTCTGCTGCAGCAGCTTCATGTCTCCTTGGCTATTAATTAGGAGTGTTAATCAAGCACAGGTTTCTCCATTTTCCATGATTTTGGCACCGGAGAAGGTGGGAAATGACAGCACACAAGCTGCAAGATTTAGGATAATTTAGCAAAGACTTTGGTAACTAAAACCAAGTAAATTATTATCTGGGAATATGTTTCCTTCAGGTGTAAAAAGTTGAGGGACTAGACCGCTTTCTGCTCTCACATTTTGGCTGGATTCACAGAGTTACAGAAGCACACTCAAGCCCATAAGCAGAAAAAACAGCCTTAAGGGCCTCCAAAACCCCCACACCGGGGAGAGGAGCCAGTTGTTTCTAGGAAATGGGACACAATAAACAAGTTTCTTGCTAATGTCAGCAGTGGAAAAGATGGTGAGGAACCCCAAGGACAACACCAACAAACAATAAAAAGCCTACGGCTTCCTAGAAATCCTCCTCGGAACTCAGGGGGGCCAAGGCACTTCTCAGGAAATAACATCAGGGGATCTTTGGGAATGTGATGGTAAGAGCTCTGTAAATAAGGTGGAAAACATGGGAAGGGGAAGTTTTTCGACACAGAAGTGGTGAGAGCGGAAAGCAAAGCAGGCGGCAGTGCGGAGAGTCGGCACAAGAGGAGGCACGAGGAGAGGGCGACCTTCAATCAAACAAACTCCGCTCCAAAAGCGGATAAATCACGTTCCCGTGGGAAGCAAGACTAAAAGGAGGGGGAGAAATAAAAGCTCAGGAGCGTCGGCAATGACCAAGAAACAGATTAAGACCAGATGTGCCGGGAAGCAGCGGAGCAAGAGACAAACACGGCTAAATTGTGGGTATTTCTCCTCACGGGGAACTCAAGGGATCGCAAGGGGAACAGAGCGGTGACACCATTCAGGGCTGAGAAAACACAAAAACTCTAAAACCAGATGAGGCAAACAAAAAATGACAAAATATTTCGTGCCTCTTCATTTCAGTGAAGGAATTAGTTGTGAGGAGATCGTTAGCGCAATTAAGGCACCAAGGCGACGGGGACTTCCACAGCTGGGGAAAGATGTAGAGAGAACGCTCTGAAAAAATTGGATTTTTTCAGACCGGCAAGGGCTGAATGAAGTCAGGGCTGGAATAATGAGCTATTTTTAAAAGAGGGGGAAAAAAAATGGAGAAATCAGGAGATCGGGATAAAATAACATGACCTCAGCTTCTGCAAACACACTGGCACATGTTAGCACATACTTGGAAGACGAAACAGCAGGTAGAGGCCAACACGTTCGTTTGCCATCCTCAAATAATATTTAAGCAATGTGTTTTCTTTTTATTGTCGCTCCTCATTCCCAAGAGGGGAAAGAATGAGCATCTTAAAATTGAGATATCGGCTTCTGACACATCGAGTTTAAGTTTCTTCTGGGAAACGTGGCCTAGGTCAACCAACCAATAAGAAAAAATATAATAATTATCGTCAAGAAGTCACTGCCAAAACAAAACTCACAGGCTGGAGTTTCCTCAGTGACCATCAGGCTTAGAAGTTTGTAGGAACTTCTTCAGGTTCAGCCCTGTAAAAGCAGCTTCCCAGCTTGTTCACTGCTTCCTTTTGACACTCAGTATCAAATTCTATGGTATTTTATTTAAAAAAAAAGTGCCTTTTCCTCCTTTCTTACATTTCAGATGCCAGAATGCAACAGAAAAATAATGAAATACTTGGCAAATTTGCTCCAAATGCACGTGGGAGCATTGAAGTTTAATTTCAAAAGGATTCTTGCACTGAAAAGGGGAAGAAACAGGCTGAAATAGGGATAAAAGGAACCACTACCCTTAACGAGCCAGAGCAAAATCAGGGAGAGGGATCAGCCCTGGAATGAAAGAATTGGGGGGAAAAACCATAATAATGGGTTGCAAATCGGGTGATTTCTCCAGTCTCACTGGGAATGGGATCTGTGGTAAAGGAAAGAGGTTTAAATGCCGGGATAAAAAGCAGCTTATACCCCGCTTAACGCTAAACCAGGGAGACGGGAGGATTTCCATCACTGCTGCCCAGCTTATTTCAGCGCTAAATGAGAGATTAAACACTGAAGGGCAGGACAGGGTGGGAACTCAGCAGAGCTGATCCCGCTGGGGAGAAACGGGGAGAGATTTTTCAAAGCGTTTTCTGCCTCATTTTCCTACAACAAAGGTCGCAGGCCAAGCCCTGCCCGACCCAGCTTACCTGGCTTCTCTGCCCGACGCGGGGATTGGCTCGGGGGAACAACGTCGTCATCCGAAGAACTGATTTCATCCACATCCTGTAAATGAAGACAGTTTTTTTAGGGGAAAAAAAAACCAAACAACTTTTTCAGGTGGTTCAGTTCTCAGAGAGCAGCTACAGAATGACATAGAGTTGAGGTGACCTTTGCAAGGTTTTTTTTTCTCTTTTAAGTAAATCTTAACTGCAAAGGTTTGTATCATTTCCTCACTGCAGCACCTCTGGTTCGTTCTCTCACTAGGACTGTGCACCGGCACGGCTTTTGGAAGCCTCTCACAAACCTTCAGCAGGCATAAAAGTTTCCCAAATTCATTTTTGCCTTGAACTCTGCTCTTTTTTTGTGTATTTTTTGTGTATTATTTCCCATTTCATCAGGACCCCCAGACCAGGCTGTAGCAGAATCTGAGAGTACATCAAGCCCGAGCTCCATCTGTGTTCGGTTTGCAGTTAAAATAAACAACAAAAAACCCACTAAATTTCCTTTTCAAATGCCCTGTGCTTCTGGTTCACCTCTGAGAAAGTTTGCCAAGGCAAAAATCTGCCATCGTAGCAGAATCAAACGTTTTAAAACTTTTTTTTACTTTTTTTTTTTTAAATCTCAACACGCAAGATCAGATTGCACAAGCTCACATTTGTGGGTTTTTCACGTGGCGCTATCAAAATGTATCGACAAATCAGGAATGCGCTGCTAAAACAGCGCAGGTGAACAAAACAGGCAACAAAGCATCTTTTAGTGAACCCACAGAGGAATATAAAACACATCAGCCCTGTAAAAGCAGCTTCCCAGCTTGTTCACTGCTTCCTTTTGACACCCAGTATCAAATTCTACGGTATTTTATTTAAAAAAAAGCACCTTTTCATCCTTTCCTACCTTTCAGATGCCAGAATGCAACAGAAAAAGTGATATAATAATGAAATACTTGGCAAACCTGCTCCAAATTTGCATTTTACTGCCACGCTCGTTCCATCCCCACCCTCACGTTTCCCACCCGAGCGTCGCATCCGAAAGCGAACCCCACATCTCCCGCTAAAAAACCGATCCTCGAGCAAATCCTCAAAGCAAGGCCTGGCAAGAGAGACTCCTGGCGAGGTTTATCCATTCCGGCACCGCTAAATATATCCGGGTGGGAATCAAATGTATATTTGAAAAGCAAACCATCCCCAAAAAAATCACCAGAAGCATTCGCTGCTGTGGTAGCAAGAGAGAAAAAAAAGTGTTTGTGCCTCTCTGGTGATACAGAAAAACCTCTTCGAACACAGACCAGCTCCGAAAACTTATTGGTGGGGGAAAACACAAGAAAGTGGGGCTCAGCTCCTCGGAGCAGAGAGCTGCAGAGCGAGCACGCAGCGTTCCTGCCGATAAAATAAGCCCTAAAAAGATAATTCCAGCCCAGAGCCTGCCAGTGCTTCGTGACCCAGGAGAAATCCCCGAATAAAGACACTCTAGAAACAGTTTTGCTTTCTCGGTCAGGGTTACTTCACTGGCTGAGAAGCACATGGCTGGGGAAAAAATGAAGAAAAAAGAACTCGAGCGCTGCCTTCTTCCTCCAGCCTTGGGTCAGGTTTTGAAGATGGAGACATTATCTAAAAAAGGGCACTTAAAATCTGCTTTTTCAGCCTTGCTCTTATAGAAAAAAAATAATAATAAAAAAATACATGTTGTCTTTTGGGAAAACCTCATGCAGAAAGCTTTCCCTTGAGGGCTGGCAACAGCCAGGGGTGCTGACAAGAACTTCCTGCCAAGTTCACCCCAGTTTTATGCTTTCCTAAGGCAGGGACAAATCTAGGAAAAGTTTTCCTGGGCAAAAAAACACTCATAAATTTAAATAACTCCCTCTGTGCCCAACTAAGCGGAGCACGTGTTCCTCGCGGCCTTCTCCTGACGCCGCCTCTACTCACCCCGTCCCTTGCGGGTTTGGGAACCCCAGACCGGGCAGAGGGGCTTTTCTGCGGAGATGTTCTTCCTTCAGCCGCCCAACCACCTCCCTCGCGATGCTCACAGCTGGTGTCACCCTCCTCGGTTTCATTTTCCTTCTTCTGAGGCCCAGCAATCCCGCTCAGCACAAGGCTAGCGTCAAGAATTTTGTTTCCGTCCGTCGAATCGGGCTTGGCAGCGGCCGACGGGCCAGGCTCATCGTTTTCTTGCAGGGATTTGGGGAGAGAGCTCGTGTCTCCAGCCGGTTTTTTCGAGTGCGACTTCTTCCTGGCGCAGAAGAACGCCGCTCCCAGCTGGAGTTTCAGGGCTGGTTTCACCGTCATGCTTAAGACTCTGAAGGGCGAATCCATCTTCTTTTGAATGAGACAATTCACGTTCTCTTTCCCCACGCTGGGTTTCGCCGCTGGGATCTCTCCCTTCGCCTTCTTCAGTGTTTTGGGGGCAGTTTTGCCAGGCTTGGGGTTCTCTGCGGGCTTGGTGGCCTTCGAGCTCGTTTTCCTGCTCGAGCTCCCGTTTCTCTTCTCGGTCCTGCTGGCAGCCGGGAGGTTTTCACCTCCATTCCTCTCACCCGAAGCGTGATTCTCCCTCAGCTCTTTCCTCTCCATAAGAGTGAGGTATCGCTTTTCCTTCCCGTAAAAAGACCCCACGGGCACACAGGGTTTGTAGGAAGAAGCAGGTTTGGGGGATAATTTCCCCAAGGGGTCGGTCTGCGCGGCTGTGGGAGCTCTGGCTGCCTGGAGGGGTGAGATATCCAACCTCCTCGACGGCGCCGGCTTCATCGGGGCAGCCTCGTTTGCTTTCAGGTTCGAAGACCGTTTTATTTGCGAAGGAATCCAATTATTTCTCGATTTCTTGGGGGGAGACGGACCTTGGGCAAAGCCCATCACCAGTTTTTTCACCGGAGTCTCAAAGGCGAGGGACAAGCTGTAAAAATAATGGCAGAATGAAATATCCCATGGACTACTGAAAGCTTTTCAATCATTATTTTACATAAGTAACACTTGATTTTCGCTCAGCCTAGTTGCCTGTACTGGTGTACACTCTGGAACAAATAAAGAAAGCAACATATAATATGCAAATATTATTTTATTTAATTTTTTTTAACCAGCAAATCTATTTTCCTGCCTGAACTTGTTAAAGCACCTGGGAACAACAGTCACTCTGCTTTCTGGAACGCTCCCAAGAGGATCAGCGCTGGGATTCAGGAGGGCAAAAAAAACCCCAAACCCACAAAACAAAACCAAAGACAAAATTTGAATCGTTTCAGACCAATTCTGTCAGCTCAGGGTTGTGCTTTACATCACTTTTTGAAAGGCACGCCTTGAAATCTCGCCCCGACAGCTATTTCAGAATCTCAAAACCCATCAGTAAATGAAAATAACTTTTGAACCTGCTGCCCGACGGGAGGCAACGCATTTCTGTGAAGGACACGTCGAGCTGTTCCCGGTTGTAACATATCTGGCACGGAGTCTCCTCAGCGAGCATTTACACCCCGTCTCAGGAATTTGACCTTCTAATTCAGAAAGCAAACTGCACCCTTGGTCTCCCCCTGCCCCAGAAACAGTTTTGTGGGGGAGACGTACGGGACAAGCGTGAGAAAAATGAGCTCCCGAAAGAATGAGAAACAAGCGATTCTTTGTGGATTTATCGCTCGGCTTCTCCTCCACTAGATTTAAGGGGAGTTAAAATCCTCAAGCCTGTAGGTTTTTTTAGGTATACATAACAAATGAACTATATTTCTATTAACACTAGAAGGATACACAGATAATTTGTGCAGCCTTTGGTGTTTCTGTGTATCTAAATGGGAAAGGCTTCACCTCAAAGAAATTAAAACCTCAGGGCTTTTATTTCTTAGGTTTCTAAACAATCAGTTTCAGGTTTCTGCTGGTTTTGTGACTCACTCAGGGCTGGGTCTGTGCGTAAACATCACGGACAGGGATACGCACCTGACAGAGCTGACTGCCAAAACAAGATCCCTTTGCTTCAATAAAAGAACAAATGAAATGCCCTAACGCAAGCTCCTAAGGCAGTTTTGAAAAGGAAACAGCTCAGCATAATGGTTCCCCTCATTTCTAATCCTGTGCTACAGATCAAAGATCATTTTGAGCTTCAGTTTCCCTCCACATTAGACCTCTCAAGATGCTCAGTACAATATAAAAATAAGTCAGGGAATAACAAACATGAGGCGATGCTACAACATCTCAAAATCACCTTGTTTTTTTTTTTCCACTGTACATGGATTGAGGATTTCAAACACCTCTTTTATTCCAGGTGCAGCAATTAATGTATTTTTTCTGAGGGGGAAAACAAAAAGTATGAAAATTTCACATACTCATCAGCAGAGCTACGGTTCCTTTTCCGTGGGGTGACAGCTGCCATGTCTTCTCGAGAGCGCCTACAAGAACACATTTTTAAGAACTTTAAATAGGTTTAGAGTAAAGATAAACAGAAAGATAAACAATAAAAAAAATTAGTAAAGAAAGAGGAAGTGAGGAACAGGGAGGAAAGCAGAAGTTCAGGTGTGACAGAGACTAGAAGAGCATAGAGCTGCTTCAGTTGAGCATAAACCGTAAAACAAGCACACACGGAAAGGATCTTCCAGGTCAGGTCAAGTTTTGTCATCACAAACACATCCCAGTCAAGAGAGCTCTTTACCAAGCAGCTTTGAACGCCTTCCATCCTGCCAAATACCACAAAACAGGCTTTTTTTAGTTTTCATTAGCACTGCAGCCATCTAAACCACTTGAACACTCGACGCTCATTGATCTGTCTCTTCCCATCTGAGATTATTAGCGTACAATATTCGCTTTTCCGCTACGTGGCGTTTCACAACCGAAAAGCCCAGAACAAACAAACACCCTGTAGCCAAGCAGACTAACAATAAATATTCAGAAACGGCTAGAAATCGTAATTTATTCAATAATCGGCCAGTAGGGGGAAGTTTCCCCTAACCTGCCGGTGCTGATTTTGAGGAAAAGTGACAGGACAAGCTGTCGCGGAGCCCAGGAACACCAAGTCTATGAGTGGTAGCAGAGGATGGAGCCAAACAGCAAGAGTTGTACAACCTCAGCACAGAGCAGCGCTGGCAGAGCTTCAAGAGAGGGCAGGTAATGCCTGACAACCACGGTGCAACACTAAAAAGCTTGCAGGTCCCTCAGAAATGAGATATCAGGTGCAGGTGAAAAGAAAAAGATAAGACAAGGACAGACTGTTGGCAGCAGAGTCAAGGACTGTTGAACAATAACTTGCAGGAGTGGCCCCAGCCACAAACACCCCTTCCAAAAACCTCGGTTGCCCAGGTCCCAGCACCCCCCTTGCTCCAAAAATCTCGCACCCCTGTATTGTGTCAGACTTTCACCCCAGAGGCATCCTGCAACCTGCTGGGGCACCAGCCCCTTACCACAGAATCACAGAACCACCTAGATTGCAAAAGACCTTTAAGATCTTCAAGCCCAACTACAACATGTCCTCGATTAAACCATGTGCCTAAGCACTGTGGCTACCTGACTCTTAAATCCCTTCAGGGATGAGGACTCCATCACTGCCCTGGGCAAGTTCTTCCAATGCTGATGACATTTTTTTTAAATAAATTTTCACTAATATCCAATCTAAATCTCCCCCTGAGCAAGTTGAGGCCATTTCCTCTCGTCCTATCGCTTGTTCCTTAGTTGACCTGGGAGTCACCGAATTGTTCAGGTTGGAAAAGACCTCTAAGATAGACTGAAGCTGGAGATGGGTCGGTTCAGAT